GCAGGCAGGAAAACGGTCGGGGTGGGGGGGTTGAGTTAACCACGATTCGGTGCTTCAGGAGCCCCCTCCCACTCCATGCCTGGGCTGGATCTTTTTTCTAGAAGCGAGAGTGAGAAGATTGGAAATATTTTTGTACAGTTTTCTTTTCCTCTTTTTTTTGGCCTTTCCTCTCCTTTCCTTTTTCTTATCTGTGGTCGTGGGTGCTCTTGGCCCTCTGGGTGGAGGAGTGGTCAGTTGGCCAACACAACAGGCTGGAACGGCTGGCTGGGGTATTGCATGGTGTTCAGGTTGTAGCTCAGGCCTTCCACAAAGGGTGTCTTCTCCAGGAAAAGGCTGTTGGTGCCACCTCCAAATACCTGGGCCATATCGAAGCTGCTGCTGTTACAGGTGCTGGCCCCACCACCCGCAAAGGGTGCTGAGGTGCCACTGCCCTGGCCATCAGCTGCATCAAAAAAGAGGCTGGGCGAGCCACCACCATTGTACACGAACTCCTTGGCATTGGGTGAGAGCTGGGACTGAGGGGCCGAGGTGGCTGTGATGAAGTTCAGTGAATGCATAGACAAAGAGAGGCTCTTGTGCTTCAGCAGGTTGTTGGTGGGCGAGCGGACCATGCGAGGCTGTTGCTGTGGTGGCTGCTGGCCACTTGCCCCACTGCTGGCCACGCCCCCACCACTAGATGCCCCACCACCCTTCTTCATCTTGGTAGAGCCAAATTTGGTGGCAGCGAAAGAGGCGGTGGTGAAAGTGATGGGCTGGGCAGAGCGAGGGATGAAGGTGGGGCTGGGTGACTGGCCGAAGGACGGCGAGGGGGAATTGGACAGAGAGCTGTCCTGGCTGCCAATGGGCACAAATACCTGAGCATCAGGGTTGAAGCTGCTCTTGATCTCCTTGTCCAGCTCTGGGGCACCACTGCCCTCACTGTCATCCAGGTACAGCACTTTTACAGCCCCCTTCTCACCGATCTGGTAGGACACTTCAAAAGGGTCAATCCAGACACTCAGTTCCTCAGGCACGTTGGCCCGCACATCCTCCAATGCCAGCCCGCTCCGCTTGGCAGCCAGCTCTACCACAGGGTCCACCATCTCCCCAATGTGGACGCAGCGGAAGCCAGAGCCCTTGAGTGGCTTATCAGGGTACCAGTGGCCTTCATATTTCTTTTTCAAAAGTCGCTCGAGCTCTTCTCCAAACAGGTCTGCCCGGCGCCGGGGCAGCTTGTTGTATAAATAGGAGATGATGAAGTTCAGGGCCACTTTAATCTCTAACTGCATGGTCCTTTCCTAGGCAGAGAATCAGTGCAGGGCACGTGCACAGGCCAAGGGAAGTGGTTGCAGATGTAAGATGGGCAGACTTGGGCTGCAGATGGTTCTGGGAAATGAGAAAGAAGGAGAGGAGTACCATGATTATATATGCAGACAGGTGGAAGTGGCCAAAGACAGACAAAAAAACACCAACTCTGGATCACTACCATTCTACCAGTGGCTGGGTTCAACTATACAATTGTAGACAAGTTACTTCCTTCTGAGCCTTAGATTTCTCACTGGGAAAATGTGTCTGACATGGAGTTGGAGGATATAAATTGCCTTATGCTACACTTGGCAGTAGTAGACACTTGATAAAGTTAGCTATTTTTTTAAAATAATAAACACATACGGAATGCCATTTTCCACCATTATGAGAATTTGGGTCCCTGTACGAATGATACACACCCCCCCAAACACACACAAACAACCCAAGCAAAAATAAATAAACGAATAAACCCAGGCTCCTAATTCATCAGAAGAAGGGAAGGACTTTGCTGTCTCTGTAATATCTTGGTGAAGTCATGTCCCCAAACTGTCACAGGCTAAGATGTAAGTTTAAAATTTTTAGTTGTCCTCCTTACATGGAAAGGGATACAGGTCACTGAACATGAAGGAACACTGCCAACTTTTCTCTGGGGCTTGGACTTCAGTCATATCCATCTGTTACCCTGGGCCCCAAGGATGTGAGGCTTTCAGGCTCAGGCTGGGTTTGCAGAACTGATTTAAGAACTACAGTGTAGGGCTGGGGCTGTAGCTCAGTGGCAGAGCACTTGCCTAGCATGCGTGAGGCACTGGGTTCAATCCTTAGCACCACATAAAAATAAACAAGTAAAATAAAGGCACTGTGCCCATCTACAACTAAAAAAAAAAAAAAAAAGGTTGGGAATGTACTCCTGGGTTGAATTCTAGTACACTGCTGCATGCGCGCGTACACACACACCACACACACACACAGACATATATGTGTGTGTCCCGCGCGTGAGCAGCACTGGTGTGGCCTGAGGGAATCTCTGTAGTTTCTGTAGAAGGTGTAAGTGATGAGGATGATGGTAGAGGGAAGAAAATTTCCATTACCCTGTAGTCTCCAGCTGGGGACCCATCATCACTCTGTTTCCCAGGGACTGTCTGACCACCTGTTCTCGGCACTGGATCAGATTTATCAAGTGTTTGGAGATGAGGAGAAGGCAGCCCAAGATAAACACTCAGATTGTTATTTTGGGACTCTCTCACAGCCAATCCCACTGAGGTCAAAAATGTTTTACCCCATAGGTCTGGGCCAGCCTCATGTTTCAGGAACATGATCCTTAAGTCCTAAGAGCTAGTGATTCTACTCTCACTTTCTCCAAAAGGGTGGTTCCTGAACTTATGCTCAGGGAGAAAATGAACTAAAAAAGGGCAATCTTTAAGGGAAGGCAGGGCCAAGACATCTCCCTAACCAGACCTCTGGGCAAGTCTAGGCTGCTGAGCTCAGCACAGAGATGAGACTGATCCATGACCTGTCAAGGGCAACTTCGGTCCTGTGAAAGACTCAGTGTTGGATTGTGATTAAAGTCCCTTCTGGTTTCAGCATGAAGTGTCCAGGTACCAGCTGTAGGCTTGGGGGGTCTTGAGTTTTCTGAACACCTGTCCCAACACACTTCCCTGTTCATTCTTAGACTTGGGCCCTTGGCTCCTAGGAACACTTTTAGGACTAAATCCTCAAGAAAAATATTCTGGGATGAACGTATCTGAGAAGATGCACTGGATCAATCTAGAGCACCATAGCTCATTTCAGGTCTGAGGAAACAGAGAGGGTCACATGGGGAGTCAGTGACTGGTCCCTCTCCCAAGCCTGCCCAAAGAATGCTCAGTACTCAGGAAACCCTGGTTTCCTCTTCATCCCAGCCTCCAAAAGACTTTGATCTTTGATCTGTAAGTTTCTTCAAATGTCTATTCATGATTAAGACAGATCATTTCCAGGGTTTCTTTTTTTTTTTTCAAATGGTGCTGGGGATTGAACCCAGGACCTTGTGCATGTGAGGTAAGCACTCTACCAACTAAGTGATATCCCCAGCCCCTTGTGATTTAAAGAGAAGAATGGTAAAAAGGGACTTTCTGTTTCTGAAGACTGGTTCATCACCAGATATAAAGTTAGCTATATGACCATGGGACTCCTCCCAAGAATGGTGGCTTAAAAAAAAAAAAAATAGTGTCTTGCTATTTTGCCTAGGCTGACCTTTAACCTCCAGGGCTCAAGTGATCCTGAGTAGCTGGGACTATAGATGTACAACATCATAACAGGCTTAAGAATGGAGGTTTGCGGGCTGGGGATGTGGCTCAAGCGGTAGCGCGCTCGCCTGGTATGCGTGCGGCCCGGGTTCGATCCTCAGCACCACATACCAACAAAGATGTTGTGTCCGCCGAGAACTAAAAAAAAATAAATAAATAA